AGTAAAGTTGTTAGCTGAGCAGCTGTTAGCTTTTTTAAAAATAGGTTAATGCAGATAAAGGATAAAGGATAAAGCTGTCGGCATTGATCAATCTCTGAGGGTTGCGCAATGCATTCGACTTTATTAAGTGTCGTTGGAGGTGATTGAATGCATATCTGACCTTTACAATGACTCGCGGTGGCCTACTGATGTATTGAGCCAGTGCTATCCTTTCAGACAAGTCTGGTACCAATTTGCCGACTCCAGTCGGATGGAAGGCTTGGTGGGCCATTGGCGCGATGAACGATTCCACGCTTGTGTTACAATGTCGCCTCCAACCACTGCGCGACATGCGCCCCTATGATGCAGACACCACTAGTAAATAGCAGGGTGCTAAAAGATCTATGCTGGTTTACTTTTTAGCTCACTGCATAAGGAAATTAATATAGGAGAGTTTTCCTGGTACGGCTTTCGACTAGCGGTTTCTGCAAAGGCGGAAATTGGACCGTTCTCAATGAGCGAAACGAATTAAACAACAAAGTGTGCAAAAAGAAGTCATCAAGGTTAACATATGTTTTAAGCAAATTGGTTAATTGACATGTTCTATGGTAAAATGGTTTTCGAGGCTCTGTTTTTTTTCATATTGCCATTTTGTAACCATTACGATGCTCCTCATTCTGTGATCACCGTTGAAGAATGAGCGAGCACGACTTCTGACAACGTCAAAGCCTTTGTTAGGTACGACATCAGCATGAAGATTGGGATAATGTGCTTTCTAAATGACAGATTTCACTCACTGCAACAATACGTCGCCGTCGGATGTGTTTCCGATAGTTTGGAAAGCTCCAAGACAACCAGATTGATGAAGGTGAGGATTTCCACGGCAGTCAAAAAGTTTATTTTTCGACAGAACAAAATAATAACTGATCAAATGAGCACAAGTACTGAGGGGTGTAGCGTACATTTTAGTTCTGTTTTAATTTTAATTTTGTGAGATTTCTAGAGTTCTATGATCGCATACTCAATACTGTTATTATGTGATAACAGATCTTGAAAGCTTTTATCAATATTAACTTGATGGAGTACTGATTTCGGCCTTATTTCTTAGGCGTGTGCTGTAAAAACGGTTTCCAAGTAACGTTTATAGAACATGTTAGCTCCCGCAAAGGGTAACTGCTCGTTCGTTCCCCACCGCAGACACCTGCGGTGCGGAGTTTTGCAAATATCTCAGCATCAATGTGGTTGCATCACACATAATACCCCTGCCGTGAAAAATTGTAATAAGCAGTAAAGAAGAAATTAACGTTTATAGTTTTTATATAAGGAAAAACACAGTTATCGTGATGTCCCGATAAATGCCAATTTGAGAAAGATTTATTACAAACTGAACATATTTAATATAAAACCACTTGCGATTGCAAAACCACTAGAAATTGACGGTTCATGGGTTGAACTAAAAATCGGAAGAACTCCCTGTTCAAAACTTGCTTAAGCAGGAAAGAATTCATTCATTCGCCGTTTATCCTAGTATTAATTGCTGCTCAAATGAGGTGGAACTAAGTTGTGACAATTCGCCAGGTTGAGAAGATTTTGCAAGAGTTTTACCTCGTTTCCTTTCAAGTAAACAGGTCCGGTCCACTACCACAAGGAGTTCGTCTGAGCGTCGAAATCGTTTTTCGTCGACGACGTCAGCTGTTTGGCAGAATCGAACGCACATCGTTCCGTTTCAACAAATGGCGAGTGTAATTATTCCAAACTTGAGGTGATGTGAAACTCACGTCCTAAAATGTCATTACAAATCCGGTAAGCTGTCGAGTTATATCAAATCTTTTAATCCATATAGTACCTTTGAGGTGTTATCTTCCTACGCTTTATATTCTCGAAAAATTGTAAAGATATTTTGAGACGAACATTGGCAGGACCAAAAATCTACTTTCCTGATTTTCTGCGCCGAAATCATTTCAGAAGAAAACTATGCTCACCTTAACTTTTTGACGATGATCAAGAAAAATGGGAACTTCGCACACATCAACTCTTCATCTCTATGTCTAATCTCGGAACCGGTTTTCATAATGAGGAATTTCTTTCCCAAATTTCCTTTATTTTCACCGGTAATGTGATTTTTAACCAATTATTGCGAAATATAGACGGTTCCGTTGAAATGTCCTGCCATCGCTCTGTTACATTTACAAATTCGCTGATGCATTGAATGTCTAGTGTAATACAGTAAGGTATCTGGTGTTTTCCACTGCATTGAAAACGTGTTGGGTGTTTGCAGACTGAAGAAGTATGAAACTAGTCGATCTAAATAGAAACTATTCACGTGTTCGCACAATTGAATCTTCGCTCCCTGTACTAAACCTTTCTTTTACTTCACAAATGGATACGTTGAACCCACGTTTTATTTCTAGGTCGGATAGAATTGTCACCTTGGGACCACTCAACGGCGTACGTGTAGGCGATGCCATTCTCTTCTGCCATCGTCGATCTTTGTTTCCCATTATTTCAGACTGACAGTGCTTACAATATTTACGGTGCTGCCAAATATCCTTAAGGATAACAAACGTTCTTGTATGAGGAACTGCCAATTTGCATGGCGATGGTAATCCAAGCGTTTAGGGCGCGAAGGTAGAAGGGAGAACTCCTCAATCTCTTCATTCAAAAACCTCTTTGGCTTGGAGAGAAGATGTAGTTTAACGGTGACGCTGCTCACCATTAAGCACTACCTACTCGTTCTTACTTTTTACGATGTACGCTGTCTATCGCGGTAAAATGTTGTTGTTTGTTGGTGTTATCGTTTTTCCCTTAGTGAGGCGAGTGCTCCGCCCCTCCGTCTCCTCAAAAGTGCGACCAGAGAGGTCGCTGCGAAATATTCTCCCATCTCACATTATCCTATAGTTTCGCAGATTTTTCTACTGATTTCTTCATCAACAATATTTTCATACAGCCATAACCTATACTCCACTTATTATGGCAACGATCACTGAATCCATTCCATCTGACTTCATTTGTCAGCGATACGTATTGGACGACAATCGTAAGTTAAATTCTGAATCACTTACTTTCTCTATTGTGGTTGCTGTTCTTATTGTTGTTTTTAATAAATGTACAACGATATATTACTAGATGCGTCGTGGATTGCATAAACAGACGTTTTGCTTATTGATTGAAGCTCCTTTTTCACTACATAATTATCCCTAGTTAGTCTTATATTATCAGAGTTATTAGGGCATAAGCACTTTTTGTTCGGTTTACGTCGGCCTACTAGGATTTCTTCACTTCTGTTCATTAAAGCTTGGTTATTACTAAAATTTCGTGATCTGTGTGGTGCAGAAATGAGACATCCTGCACATTTTAAGGTTTCTCTTCGGAGTTGATTGCTGCTTCTCTTTTTCACTTCTCGGAATAGATTGCAAACTTTCTTATTTTTCTTCTACTTAGTATACTTCGAGGATTTCAAAGAGTACAAATCAGGTATGGATCACAAAGGAACACTCTGAGATGTATACTTGGAATAATTCTTGTATAAACTATATATAACGTTGACGCAGCAGTTTTACGGAATAATAAATAAGGACTTGTTTAGAGTTTCTCTTTTCCTTTTTTTCGCATCACCGATGTCTGACTCTATTTGTCCTAGATAATCAGGTCATGGTTACAATGGAAATGATGTCAAAGCCGCATGAATAACCTCTGTGAAAAGAAAAGACACTCATTTGCATCATTAACATGGCCGAATTAAATGAAAATTCATGTTTGCGAAAGAAAAGAAGAACCGTTGTGGAATTAAATAAATTGGAAATCATGTCAGACATCCTAGTGAGTCCATTAAAGTTATAAGGAAGTAAGGTGAAATTCAAACCCTATGCCGTTCCTTAGAACGATTTCAATCAGTTTTATTTCCCAAGGCCTTCTTATTGTTTCGTTACCTTCAGAGCTGTTTAGTTTGCTTTTATTGTCTGAGTTTTGATTCGCACCACTTTTATAAACTTGGATTCCAAAAGAAGGAACGTTTCTTGCAAGCGTAGGTTGTTGACAAACTGGTCTCAATTCTAGCTAAGGACTACTTTTTGCACTTATTTGTGTGAATAGTGGCCGACCTGAAATTCAATTCAGTCATGTCCTAAAGTAAATAAAATTAACGCTATATAAATTTTCTCATTTGTCCCAAATATTGGTAGAACGGTCGTCAGTGGGACCTTTTACTTCGCGCTTTCGAAGTGACATCCATTAGTATTCCCAGTGTTCTAATAATAATAAATAAAGATAGTTTATTTCAAATATTAATGGATGCTTGATGATGTTCTGCGAACACATGGAACAACCACAACAACCACTGGACTTAAATCGATAAGATGTTCGTAGTAATGTGAAGCAAAGCTGATTAAAATGTTTGTATAAAAATCGTATCCTACTAAATTAGGAAAAGAAATACATCATCAAACTCCTGAAGTGTCTAGAACCTTTCCAACATATTCAGTAATAAGCTGTTCATTAGTACAAAAAAGCCGTATAGATATCGAAATAAAGGACAGTGTTCCCTTTGTGACCACTGCTCTAGCATGGGACCGATCTCAGATCCTGTCATCAATACGACTGTTCTGTTGGTTGTTTTCGGTTCTCGTTTCAATGCAGAACTCGTTTTTCACAATTCGTTGAATTTTGCCTTCATTTTCCACTTTTTTCTGTACTCCGAATAGTGTCATATTCAGAAACACGAGGTTATAAAGCTCACAATCAGATTTTCGAGAATTTCACGTTAGACAACACATAAACGTATCGCCTGATTATTATATCTTCCACATTCTTTCGAACAAGTTAGTATTCTTCGAAGCAAAACCAGTACGTTCTGCTCATCGATGAGTCTCTTCTCACATGGAAAATGTCTAGTTGGTTGGTTGCGAGGATACGTAGCGCACCCTAAGGTGGTGTATAAATGATTAGTTCTGACCAAAATAGACTATGCATTTTTGCTGAGACACAGTTGAACCCAAATAATTTCTTGTCTTCGCCTCGCCAGAATGATTCATTTGCACTTTCCGCTTGCACGTAAATATTCGTTTATGATACTGTGGCTGCAATTGTGGCGCGCAAACTGCGCCCTACACATCAATTCTTGCAGAAGCTTGTAATTAAATATGCTGCCGCTAACACAGTGTAACCAAGTGATTGAGAAGTACATAGGAGTTAACTCGTGGTCTATTCCGACAAACAAGCCTCACCTTCACTACGGGAGAGTCCTACAAATCACTTATGTGTGTATCTGCATCAAAGGTTAGAACCTGGCTGAGCACCCGTTAGTAGCTTACAGCCAAAGACAGTAAAAATAAAAATCTTAGCAAGAAGGCTATGCTGTTGTTCATCTCCTCCGAGTGAATTAGCTCAGTGAAAGAGAGCTATAATCTGCACCTACGAAAAATCGAGATTTTAGTGAGTTTCCAATTGCAAGTGATATGGAGTGATATAGATGATATAGAACATGGTGCATATGAAGTTTCTGTAACTCTCGAACTGCACTCGTTTCTAAATACTTGTAGTTTTACCTATGCTACATTGTGCTGCCTAAAATATGAAAATTCATGTAAAGAGAGCAATAATTTCGTTGTACGCTTCACTTGAGAACGGGGTTACTGAGCAATTCGATTCGTTGCCATGCTCTATTCCAGCGTCCCTGGGGGCAAGGTAGCGATTGCCACTCCAGTAAGAACAGAACAAATACTCAAGTACTGCTATTCTTAAGTGATGATATCGTAACCAATTGTTTTATTTTTAATCCCTCGACTAAAACGAAAAATTATTCCTGAACCACATAAGAATGTTCGTCGAAGTTTTTATGGTACTTTCTTAAGCTTTTTTTCAGAACTCTCTGAGACGTTCGACCTTCTCGATGTCGATAAAGATGGTTGTCTGTCGCGCAACGAAATCGCAGCGCTTTTTCGTAGTATGAAAATGGAACCAACTCGTGTAGAATTGGACTTCATTTTCAAGGAAATGGATGCCGATAGTACGATTCATAATTTTTTTCCAAATTATTATCATACAATGATGTGATGATGTGAATGAAAGAGTTTACATTAGTACTGAGACACTGCTAGGTGAATGAGAGAAGTGTTTAGCAAGAAATGTACGTCAGTTGATACTAAGCTGAAAAAATTTGACTGCTATCACTAGTACTATATCACATGAATACGATTCGAAAAATATAGTTTGGGGTAGTAGCTGGTAGCAATATAGTACTTAGCAGCAAAATCGTCGGAGATGAACGAAGTAACACACCGAACCTCCTCTCTAGACGACCTATCGTGATTCTTTCTCAGAAGTCATGTACTTCGTGCTTGCGGCTTTTCTTGGACCAAAACAATAACTTTCAATGATCTTGAAGACCACAGTGGTTCTGGATGGAATTTATTCTTGCGTGGAAATTGGGTTGTATTAAGATGTGACACCTCCCAACTGTTTACCGCCTCATCTTGGCTGGGAGGTGTTTCTGCGTGTTGGACTACGATGTGCAGCGGGGGTATTCATCCCCGACAGGGTCTCCCATGCTGAAAAGGAGTTTGGCGTTTCCACCAGGAAGCTTAGCTAAGACTGAACCAATACCGGGATCGACCACCGTTGTGGTCTCAAGTTACTCGCATGGTTATAAATCTGCCTCTGTTCCACAAAGGCAGCGATTCCCTGTGGTGTTGACGACCTGGGGCTGACTTAGGCCGGATTGACCGCGAGACTCCAGAGAAATATGTTGGCTAAACCGGCAGAACTTCGAAAATTGTAGAACATGCCGGGACCGGCACAACTAGTGAGAACGAATCGTTCAAGTATGAAGTATCAAGCTAGGTGTGACAAATGGAATACAAGTAAATCCCAAATGTCTCTAAGTTGGACAACATTGTTGTTGTATTTTCCATATTACTCTGCTGTGAAAAAAGAAAACTTGAAAGTGTTTTCTGCTCACATACGAACGGTGATATTTATGATGTAATGCGAACAATGAGAATGACTAGGTCATTGCTAATACATTCTTCCTAGTGAGTTTTACTTTATACAAAGTTTCTTGCTTTGATAACGCAACATACTTTGTCATATCTTTTAAACACGACATTGATAAAACGACGAAAAAAGGATTCTAAGGGTAGAGTGCCCTTATTTCCTTTTGTCACCCGCAACAACAACAATAATGTCTTTTCATTGTAGTCATAGTGACATCGCAATGTAGAACTATGCACCACCTGTAAAACTCCGAGAAGGTGGTTGTCGATCAATATAGAAAATCCAAATATTAACTCAAGTCTTAAACGTTTTGCAAGAATTGCTTACGCACATTATGTCTTTCAATTCAGAAACTGGTAAAATCGGAAAGGAAGAGTTTGTTCGATATATGCGTTGTCCACCTATTCATCGCACAACACTTAAGGAACTCGAAAAGTATTTTCGCAGTTTTGATGCTGACGGTGACGGTTCGATCACCGAAGGTCTGTTGTTTTACTGTCGTAGAATTTTCGCATTGCACCAACATATACAGTAAATCAACGGAGAAGAAAATCCTTAAACATGCATACGTTGACATAAAGTATTTGCATTAGGGATCCTTAGAGATACACTATGCTTTAGATTCCATTTAAAATCACATAAGTGAATAAACACATATTTGGTCTATACTGGCTCGGTGGAGCCTATTGATTATGTTTCTACGCTCCCAATATGCGTGATACGAATCCGCTGTCTTCAGAGGGCTTAGTCTGCCCACGAACACGTCCGAATTGCATGGCATCTATAACTACTGCTCTACACCTGCTGTGTATCCACAAGAGACATTATTAGAATTGACTTGTCATTGGTCTCTTTGCCAGATATGGTTGAGGATTTTTTGAAGATTTCACTACGATTTCGTCCGTTGAATTTAGAATGCCTTCGGGAAAAACATGCTTGCTGCGCGCATAAAAAAACTCTATAGATTATATTTGCACGTTGACATCAGTTTTCTGAGAGATAAAGTCACTCACAATTTACATAATCTGTGTGCTGTTGGAGGTAAAGCGATGGACTGTAGCTTCATTGCACCTATTTATTGATAGTGGTTACATCTTTTCTTGCCGAGTATACTTCGATTGATTGCAGAGGAAATGACTCGAATTCTTCGTGAAACAACAGATCTCAACGATGCAAATGTAATTCACGATATGTTCGTAGCCACCGATACAAACGGCGACGGTCGGATCACATTTGTGGAGTTTGTAAAAATGATGCAGGAGTAGAATCTGATGGTATGTAAGATGTTCTCCTTGTTACATCGACACTAAGGCATTCTGCAGTGTTCTTTCATTCGTATTATGTCCTATCACCATGAATTCTAAAATCCTTATCCGTAAGAAATAAAGCAACTAGTGTTTTCTCTATTGCTGAGTGATTTATAAGAACTGGTATTATACATGTTTGTTCTGATAGACTTCTTCAAGTTAACGAAGTACGACTTTACCACAAAACATGACGGCTACACATTGTAGTACTCCAGAAAGAGAACTGACTGTGAATCATGTTGAATTTCTGTTTCGTTTTCGCTTTTAACAGTGTTATTTGGAAATGCGTTGTTTCAGTTCTTCTCAGGTAGTTTCTGTCAAAAATTTTGCCGATTACATTCGCTGTACTCATCGTATTTTGGCTTCCTGCATTCCTGCTTATGTAACACTTATGCACCATGATGAAAGATAATGAGTTAGTTCTATGATTGCTTTTGAAAGGATGTGTCAATGACGTGGTGAAATAAAGTCGAGTTATCGAGAAGCTTGACGGTGGATCCAGTCCTGTAATTCACGAACACATGCCACAGATGACCAGTGGGATTTCAGTTTAAAACCTTTGTCGGCATAATAAAAATTCCCATGAGCGGCTTCTGTTAACCTCGGCATTGATTGATAAATCGATGTTTTTCTTCAATAAGCAGACACGAGGTTGTTATTACAGAATTTATTAGGATACAATAATTGACGCTTCGGAGCTTTCGCCTTCTTCAGAGCCTCTGATTTCAAAAGAAATTGCCTATCAATAGAACCCACTGGGACACTTGGTGCCTAAAAAAAAGCAGAAATTCGTTTAGAATTAGTCACTATGAAAGAGGAACTTATCTTTGGTTAAACTCCTTGCTCTAGTGAGGAAATATTCCAAAGCGTCAAACCGAAGTGATCTAAAACAACTGAATGCTGATTGTCCAAAAGAATCACCTAAACTAACGAAAAGTTCGACAATCTTATTTGGAAACCCACTTAAGAGTTTATAGTTGAGGAATTGCCATTAACGTCGAAGAATTTCGCAGGTTCGCAGAAAGCACAATACTCGGAATGAGTTCAGGACGGCATTTACCCACAACCTATGATTTCCACCATCTTATGTGACTAAGCAGACACCGTAACAAAGAAAACAAAGCACAGATACTAACATAGGGGTTCTTTGGCCGTTGACGGTGCACTTCATCACTTTAATTCAAATAGAAGCCTAATTGTGCAGCATTATAGAAGAGGTCATTATATCCTGTTAACGTTTGAGTGCGAAACGATTTTCTTTCGAGTATTCAGTATCTCCGCTCCTCTCATTTTTCGCTAACTTCATAGCTGGAAGCGCCAAAAAACTCTTTTAAATGGCCCTCAACTGAGAAACGTTTAATGGGCAATATTTCAGCACAACTGAGGAGAAATTCCTGAAATTGATGATGACGTTATTGACAACTGCTGGAGAATGAATTCCAAATTCTGCATGGAGAAGGTTTACATTAGTAAAAATCACGACCGTTTCTGGAATACGCACAGCATGTTTTTTTTTCCCAAAAAAACTATAAGGCATACTCCCAGGATCGACTTTCTCTTAACCTCGGCATTGGAATATAAATGTGTCGTTTTCTTGTTCAGCAATCGCGAGGTTTTTAAGCAGCATACATTTACTTCCATAAAAACACAATACAATACAACGCTAGCTGACGTTCCAGCAGTACCGCCTTCTTCAGAGCCTGGAAGGGTATGCTGATATACAATCTACTAGGCCAAACGCTTCAATAACACTTACACAAAGACGAAAGGCTCTTTGGTAATTACACGATCAACAACTTCTCGAAAAACCCACCGCTTTTTCGTGACTTCCA